CTCTCTCTCTCTCTCTCTCTCTCTCTCTCTCTCTCTCTCTCCGCCTTTGATCTGTGTGTCTGCTGCGGCTCGGAGCTCTGCTGTGCTCTTGTGTTGCGCTGCCTGTGTTGTGTTGTGTTGTGTTGTGTCGTGCAGGGCTGGAGGAGCAGCAGCAGCGCTGACATGGTGAGCGGACCGGTGCGGGAAACACGCCACCACACCTCTCACCGGTCTGCGTTCGACTTTTAACAAGCAGCACTTTGATCAACAGGCTCCTTTCTAGCAGGTAAGAACAGATCTGAGTCCGTTTTCAACATTCGCACACTCACGAAAAACGATCGAGCCTTCGGTTAATTTCAGAATGAGCAGGACGCATGAACAAACCTGCAGTGTGTGTGTTATAAGCATGATGTGATATTGCATCGACATGATAAAATAAAGAGGCGAGTTAGTGCACTGACACCTTCAGTCTTGTGTTTATGAGTGATTCTTATGTAGACATGTTGCCCACATTGTGTCTTTATTGGCATTTTTACGCATAAATCTGATGTTAAATTGCCCCAGATTATAGTGTTTTAGAATATGTTTGCATCCCATTTGAACGTCTTTAGCTTTAAAGTGGGAAATGTCACCTTATTTAAAACTGCCAGCACCAATATTATGCACTATATAGTAAATATTACAAATCATAATTTGAGCTCTAGTGGTGCTTGCAGTGAACCCAAAAACCCAAAACGTCCAGGTTTTATGAGAAATGTCAAATGGAAATATTTAGATTTTTATATACAAATTTCCTCAAAATTCATCCTCATATATTTTGGCTTGTTTGGAATCTTTGGAGTATAAATAAAACGCTGATATAGCAGCAAGTGAGTGGAGTGTAAGTGGTTTGATGTCATTGTCAGAATCACATTTTGCTGTTTCTGAAATGTTAGTGTATATTACAGAGAACAAACTATAAAACAACCATCTTCCGCACACTGGAGCATTCACTTGTTGTGTCCTTTCAGCTGCGAGCAACAAGTGGTTCATCAAAATGGTCCGGATGCTTCAACACACCTTCTCGCTGCTGCTAACTGTGCATGTCATCTATTCAGCTCTGGTAAGTGCTTTCTGCATTGTACGCGCTTGTTTGCTCTGTTTGTGAGCTTTTGTTAAAATCTATTATTACTGTGTGCTGATCCTGCAGTCTTGCAAACATTTACAAGGAAATGTGCACAAGGAAGGAGTGACCGCTTTAAAACTTGTGCGTAACTGAAAAGCTACAAATTTGAACTGTTTACACAAACTGCACATGTCCACTTAAACTGCACTTCACACCAGCCTTACAGAGGCGTCTGCTCACACTGTGGGATCTGTGAAATCCTCGCTGAAGCCACTCTGTCAGTGCTGCGTATCGTTTTACCTTTATCCACTGCGCTGTCCTGATTGTGTTGCTATCTAGACTCCAGTCTCTGGTTCTGGTGGTCCCTGTATTGTTGCCTTCGACTCAGATTCTGCTGCAGCTGCTATACAGTTTTCCCACAGGGCTCATTAAAGTTTGATCTTATCTCATCCCAGCAGTATCAGACTTATTTTCAAGAAGTGAACCCAGTGGGTTTAGACCCCCCTTGAAATATTATGAGACGTTGTGATGCATAGCTCAGGAATGTGCTATCTTGTTATGGATAAAAGTGGTGATGAAATGCAGGAATCTCTAAACTTCACCAAATGACTGCCCCCCCACCCCCTTTCTCAGATTCATGTGAGAGCCGAGGAGGAGACCAGAGAATGCAGAGAGCAGGAGTACAAGGACCGCTTTGGGAACTGTAAACCCTGCAAACAGTGTGATGCAGGACAGGAGCTTTCAAAGGTTTGTGGTTTTTATCACTTTACCTGTGCAAACTGAAATTTTGGTTTTAAGCAGATTTCTCTAAAGCGCTGTGACTATTTTCCATAGAGCCACGAAAGGGAAAAGAAGTTCTGTCACTTGTTTATTTAGGAAACAGAGTGACGATCCATAACAGATCAGTTGAATCAACTTTCCCAAGCTGGAAAAAAAAACCTGTTGAGTTTATGAAAAGAATGAACATCAGTGTTTAGAAGAGTGTATCTTATCCAGGGAGCCAACATTATTTATTACTTCCTCTCTTTCATGCTGGGAACAGCCAAGCCGTTATTAGCTTTTGTAGAACACCGACCCTTCTTTAATCAGTCACACCCATACTTCTGACCTTCTGCAGCTGAATGGCTTCCATTGTTTTTCCCCATTGCACCCCGTCCAACTTATTGTCTTCACTGTTTGAAGCAAGCCATGCCTAAGCTTGCTGCTCTCTCGAGTGGGAATACAGTTTTTTCCACCACCTTAGCCACAGCTTTTTGTGTGCTTTGTACAAACAGGCCTCTGTAGTGTCAGTTAAGGTTGGTAAGCAAAGGCTTTCCTCTCTGGCAGCCGATACGGACCTACCTACTTTTGCGAGTGTAGGCGGTGATGTAAAGGTGAGTAAAGCACAGTCTGTGATCATTCTGTGGCAAACACCAATCGTACTATTTGAAACTGATTTAGTAGTAACTGGTGATACTCTTTTTCTACTGTATGCAGTTTCGCTTGCTGCTATAATTGAATAAAATATTGAAATAATTCCTTCCTAGTGTAGTTTCCCATGTATTGTTATTCAAAGAACCTAATCGAAAACAACAAACCAAGACTAATTATAGTCAATTAAATATCAAAAACAACTCTCCATGTTGCAATTCAATAGCCCCCAAAATGACCTTAAACTTGAATCCAAACATTTCTTAAATAGTTTAAAAAATATTTAACACTTCACAGGATTTATTGTAGTGGTTAGATAGTTTCAAAATGAGGTTTTTGCCCGCCTAAGATAATTTCATTGCATTCATTACATAGCAAGGAACATGTTTAGGTCATAAAATTGAATGGCAGCCTTAAGTAAAGAGTATTCTACAAGGAAAACGTCTGGTAGGCTGACTTTAACTGACTTTACACTCCACTACATCTTTGAGTACTGATGAAAAAAGTCTGTATCACCCCTTGACATCTGTTGCACACATGCATTTAAACCCAGTGGCCTTTAATCTCAGTGCACACAGACATGCACTCTGTGGTTGGTAATACGCTTCAGTAGTCCTCGTGTTCCTCTGCCAGCTCAACAGGCATGAATGCTGCTCGCCACCCTGGGGTCCTGGTTAATAATTGGCTGCCTCATTCTTTCTCTGAAGGTAGCGGGATGCCGGCTCAAAGTGGAGACCTGGGCCTGCACTCAGAGAACGTTTCCCAGAGAAACAACTTGTGATCTGAGCTCTGGGTAACCAAGACAATCTGTGCATATTCTGAAAAGGCAGGAGTGACTGTTGGGAGGGAAGCAGACTTTTGGAGTCCCTCTGTGCAGCTGCCATAGAGATCCCAGAGGAATGTGGCCCAGTTTGCTCTGGAAGTTTGCCTCTGGAAGCTGCTTTGAGGCAGGCAGACAAACATCAATTAGCCCCTCCACACTAACTGTAGCTAAAAGAACCACCCATACACAGGGAACGTCCATTAAAAGCAGTTGTTTGTCATCAACATATTTCATTCTAGGTTTCATTCATAGGAAGTTACTCAGTGTGTTGTGTCAGGCATGAAGGAGAAGGGGGACTCGTTTTTCAGTGCATGCTGGAAAATTGCCAGTGGCAAAAAAAAAAAAAAAGAGAGAGACAGGAACACAACTTTGATGTGTCAACATCTTGTAGTATGTAGCAAGAGTGTAACATTTCCTTCCAGCCACATTTACAGGACAAAGGACTTCTGGCTGAAGAGAAAGGAGGCGCATAAACAGCAGACAGGTCAAAATCACAGTGATCTCACATTTACTGCATGATTCTTGTTGTCTAAAGAAGCCTGGCAGTAGTAAAAGTGTACTAGAGCAACAAAAACTAAGGATGTAAGTGAATTTTGTAGTGATCAAAAGCTTTAACTGAATTTTTTTCAGTATTGTTTCCACACTGGGTCAGATGACTGAGCCACCCTCCCCTTGTGATTCCCTTCTAATCTCAGAAATATCTGTGCATCTGAATATGCTTCAGGTCTTAGCCAGGGCTGCCCCCTCTCTGCTCTCCACACGGCTGTTATGCTTGGCAGTCCTGCTCGAACCAGATCAGAGACAGGACAGGGAAAGGGGATGTTGAGCATCTGATTTTGATGGGTTTTGAGGTTAAAAGTACGAAAGCTGAGAGATCACCACACTTACATGTGTATTTGCTCTTCACTGGCCACTAGTCTCCCTAAATGATTTGTTTTATCTCATACAGAAGTATGACACAGATTGTCACCCTAATGTAATAGAGGCATTAATCTGTGTGTGTTTGTGGTATTTTTGTCAGTATGACAACATGCAATGAGTCTGAAAATGTTTTTCAGGGAAGTTTAACATAATCAATATGTATTTGTTTGTCGATATTGGTGGCTGCCTCATGGTAATTATGTGTAGCACAAAGGCCTTACAGACAGTGCGCTTCCCTTTTCATATGAATAATAACTCCAACATCACAGATTCCCACAGAGTATAGTCTTTCTTTTAGCTGCTAAACAAGTCTCTGTCAGTGCAGGGTGTCAGCTCTGTTGAGCTTTGTTAGCTGGGATAAAAGAAGAAAGAGATCGCTCCTTGATGATCTGTGCTGCCCGGACCAGAGGGGCAGGAGTTGGCTCCATTTTCCTTTTGTTTCAGTGCTCTGACCTGCTTGTGTCTACATAGCATCAGCCCTTCCTGCCATGCGGTGCCCCATGGACAGAGCTTGTGCCAGGGCTGGGTTGATTGGGGATGAATCATCCCGGGGCCCCTCTTCCTTCATGTGGAAGTGGGTCACAGAACCGCTGTGAGGTACCCTGCAGTGACAGGGCCAGGAGTGCTTACTTAAAGACCAGTTTGGTCTTCCTACCTCACTCTCTCTTGAGAAAGGCAAGCCCACGGGCAGCAAGTCCTCTTTTATTCCGCCTTTCCCCTCTTTATCACTCATCAGTCACCCTCATCCACTCCCTCCCTGGGCTCCCTGCTCTGCCCTACTGGACGCCTTATATGGAGAGCTCATAGCAACAGCTGCAGTAGTACAGGCCTAGCTGGTCCACCTCGGGCCAGGCATGGCCCAAGGGTTCAGTGTCAGGCTCACATGTGTTTGGCTGGAGGGACCGAATTCCTCATCTTCTATCCCGACTTTGCGGTGCCATCGCAAGATCACATCTTTGCCTCCAGCCTCCATTTTTATTTTCTTGCCAGCCTGCTTCCCCAAACCCAGCCCCCATATCAGAATCTTCTGCCCACATTCCAGCAGAACTGCATGCCCAGGCAGTGAAATGGGACACGGGCGAAGAGAGAAGAGTAGAGAGAAGCCCTGTTTGAAGCTGACCTTCACTTTAATGATATATGAGCACTCCACCCCCCCCACCCCCCGTCTGTCTATCCTTGTGGACTTAGATTGCAGTGTGGCAGCACTGGATAACAGGAGGGCAGCTGCTACCGAACTGATAGTGAATGATCAAGGCATGATGTCATCCCTGTGGGGTCTTTTCACTCTGTGTGATGTACAGTAATATTAGCTGTCATGTAAATATCAGTTTGTCATTGAGGTCACCAGTTTTTCAACATCATTTTTAGGCATGGGAACCAGTCAGGAATGACATAAAACAAGATGAACAGTAGCAGGTGGAAATGAAGAGTGACTAAAATGTATACATTTGTGGTTACGTCAGTGCTGTGATTTTTGCTTTAAATTTTGACAGACTTCCACAATTGCCAGTAAAGAGCAGGAAAGTGGTGTAAATTTGAAAAGGAGTAAATCTGAAATATGCATATCTCAAACAAGCAAATGAGATACATATCTGATTTCACAATACAACTTTATCATATAGTTTAAACTCTTATTGAAAACATCTTTTAGAATTTAGCTTTTGCTTGGCTCAGGTGGACAAATTCAAAATGTGGTTTGGCATTAGATCATTCACAGCGTTGTAGGAAGCTGTGCTTTTAAAGTGTACTTTCAATTGTTAAACACAAAAAGAGTATTCATCTTGTTTTCTTCATATACCTCTCCATAATCCTTCCTCAAGCGTTTCCTTTGCTTGCTGGCCTCTCAATCAACTGGACACTCACTGAGTCTGCTTGGAGAGGGAGTCGCACAAAAACGCAGCAATAAACTTGCAATAATACAACAGTGGGTGTCCCCTGGAGCCTTTATTATTCAAATGCATGGCCTTTCTGGGTCTTGCAGCGGAAGGCCACTCATTCATACTGACAGAGTCAGGGAGATTATTGCCAGTGTAAGATGGACTCTCAAAAGAGGCAGGCCATTGTTCCCTTCTGATCCCGTGAGCCAAGATCATTCTTTAATTCCAGACCCCCGGTAGTCCACATTCAAGCCCTCTTTTCTCCAGCTGCACATCACCCCAAACCACCAACCCCACCTCTTACTCAGTGTATTTCTCCCGTTAATCCCTCTAGGAATGTGGCTTTGGTTATGGAGAGGATGCCCGGTGCGTGCCCTGCCGGAGCAGTCGCTTCAAAGAGGACCGGAGCCTGCAGAAGTGCAAGCCCTGCCTGGACTGTGGACTCATCAATCGCTTCCAGAAGGGCAACTGCTCCACCACCAGCAACGCCGTGTGTGGTGACTGTCTGCCGGGGTGAGTGGACAGACACAGCTCCATCACACCGTTTCATGAAAAGCTCTTTTTTTGTAACAATAGTGCTGAAGAATAATGAAGCTACCACATGTTCATGAAAACTTTGTTGGCTAACATACCTGCAATTTTGTGTCATCAACAGATTTTACAGGAAGACAAAATTAAGCGGTTTCCAAGACATGGAGTGTATACCTTGTGGGGACCCTCCACCTTCCTATGAGCCCAACTGTAAGCCCCTTTCCTTTCTTTGACCTCTTCTAACAGCTGGCCTAACACCAGTTTTGCTAAGCTCTCATGAATACAGGCTATTCATCCATAATTCACAATAGCCGACGTTTTAACATGAAACAACAGGGATACAATAGTCTAAAAGCAAACATCGCCATCCCCAGCACACCATTGAACTCCTAGCCAAACGCTACTAGAACCAAAACACAGGCTGCAGTGCCACAACAAAGCCTGCACACACACAACATGCCAGCACAAGGTCCTTGGAGTAACCAGAACCACAGCCTTTAAAGGGTGGAGCGAGCCATATTTCATTCACTAAGTCTCACTGAGCCAGCCAGCTATGCTATATGTGCAAATAAATGCTTGGATTTACAAGCTGAGCAGTTGAAAAGCTGAAATGGATACCACTAACATAATAGTGGATTTGCCAACACTGGATTATATTAGCTCAGAACATGTCATTCAGTTTCAGCACTCAATTTGGATTAAATGAGCAAACTTCCTCGAACAAAACCTCCATTGATATTTCTAGACAAAACATATCTCAATAGCATTTCGGGAAAAAAAAAAAGTTTTTGTTTCTACCCCGACACATCGGAGAGTTCAAGAGGCATAATTTATGGCTATTATGCAAAAAGGAGGCAGGAGGTACGTTAGCTCACATTCCAGTAGGCTGCAGATCCAATTAACTGCTTTCTTCTGGCCTTTATAAGTAGTTAAGCGTAACCTTATGATTTCAGGTTTCCACATAAAACCAACAGGCGAATGAACTTATACCTTTGGTAATTGAGTGTGACTTCCTGATGGCAGAGGATACTGCAGCTGTTTCAGAGGAGGCGTCTGGCAACGCGAGCATCAGCGCTGTCCCGGCCAGAGTTAGCACCCTTGTGTTAAATAAAAGGAGACAGCTCTGGGATATCGGATAACTTAAAAAAAAAAATGCGGCTTCACCAGAATGTCCAGACTTTGTCTTGTTTTTAATTTTGTGCCTGGATTTATTTTTTTTAAATACACTTTTGCGAGCAGTCCTACTGTATGTGTAATGAACGCTGGCCTTGAGACAACTGGCTTCCCTCTCTCTGCTCATTTGTCCATCTGTGCAGCTTCCCGTTTTGATACTGGAGGAGGCCTGTGAAACAAAATGGCCATTGTGTCGGAGAACATAGCTGGTAGTTAGCTCCTACAGGGACTCTCAGTGGAGCATTTCCAAATGTTTGAAAGTCTTGCCCCCTCCCTTCAGTGTTATCTTGAGGAGGGTGGTGAAAACTTAAAGGGCAGATCATTCTAATAGGCCACACTGGCCCGGGGGGCAACGGTGCAGCTGTGCAGGGGAGGCAGTCGCCGTCTGGGGAGGACTGTAAATCTTAAACCCCCTCCCTCCTCCCTCCTCTCCTTTCTTCTCCTGCTTTTCCCCCAGTGGCTTTTTGGAGCCGAGTAAAAATGAGGTTGTGTTTTATGGATTCCTTCAGCCTCTTTAATGTGTTTCATCTGCTGAAGTTTTTCACTGTCACGGTAGATCTTAGAGGGCTGACTTGTCCGTACTGACACACACACAGACGTGCAGACGAATGTTGAAACAATCCTACCTGCTCTTTGTAGCCTGATCCTTTATTGTCAGTACTGCAACGTCTATCTGGATTTGCACAGACGTCAGACAGGAATTTCATTTTAGTTTTGTTCAGTCATGGTGGGATTTGAAATGCAGCCAGAAAACGTCACTTATCTTATATTATTAGTTGTATTTTAGACAGGATGAAAAAAATGAGGCCAATTCTAGAGAGCAGCAGCTACTGTTAACACTTCCTACTACTGCTACTTATCATTTTTACTTGCTATTGTAAAGGTTTCAGGCACAGCTTGTGACAGGGAAAAGCCAAAGGAAACATGATCCAGCAAACCTCCTTCCCTTTCCGATAACCTCAGCGCTCCATCTAGTAGAAAATCCTGCGTTACGCTGTTGCAGCCTCCTGACTGACATCATGCAATCAGTTCTCACTGCGAATGGCACAAAACATAACCGGCTGGCAAGAAAACATTCCCGCCTCCCAGCGATTCAAACCAGAGCCTCCAGTATTCAAAAGCACCTTCACCAGAGTCAAGCATACAACAGGAGCGGTGAGGTCTGCCGATTGCAGAACAGCCCGTCCTTATTGATGTTTTAATCAAGCTATCATGTAATTATTAAACCGCAACCTCACTGCAATTATGATGTTTGGTGCTGCCACATTACAAGAAGTGATGATTGTAAAATGTTGTACCACAAACACACATCTTGGGTGTTCAGTTTTGGATTTTGCAAACTTTTCCAGCAAACATATCCAGTTTCATTTCTAAAGAATGCAAAATTCTGATTTAATACATTGCCTACTCCTACTTTAATACCTGGGCGTCATAGGTGTTAAAAGCTCAAAAAGAGCTCCTGAGAAAGTGCTGGAAGTTTGTGGAATCTATTTACATCTGCAGAAGCAGAGTTCTACTCTCAAACTGGTGGAAGAAACTGAATTCTTGATCAAAACTTTAAGGGAATAACAGATTATAAGGCGTACATCTCCTTGAACTGAACTCCGACGTTTCATATTCCGTCTGAAATGGCCACAAGTCAAAAATTAAAAAAAAAAAAAAGCATTAAAGCTGTTTTATTTCCAAATCTTTGAAAGTCAGAGCAAAGCAGGCAATGTGCCAATTCCTTCAGTTATATATTCACTGAATTACATTTTTGCACATGTTCAGACATTCATACGCAGCTTATTGTCACTTTTTTAACACACATATTTCAACATAGTGTGTTAAAGCAATATCCTATACACAATACACAAATATTTATATTTTTATATCATATAAAAGTTTAGATCTAGAACTTTAAATATCTTCAAATGAAAATAGAAAACCCAGTGTTCATAACTCTTAGTCATAAGCACCAAAGAGGTCTTTTCTTTTCTGTAATTCAGAGTTCCGGTAAAGCAGTGCTCAGTTGTCCTAAAGAAGCTCTTAAAAGAGTTTAAACAGACAAAAGGCAAAGATCCCTCAGAGGTGTAAAGAAGTGCTTCTTTTATTTGGACTATGTGGCATTCCATAAAGTCAACAGGCAGGGAGTCTATGAAAGGCTGTGGTTTATTGGTCTGGTTTGTGTGGAGATAATATCAGCAGGTGAGGTCTCTTCAATGGGCCGCTGTTTATCTGTGTTTGCTGCAGCTGCTGGTTCTCTGATAACAGGCTGCCTTTGTGCTGTCGGGCAGATGATGCTCACCTCAGAGGAGCCGGATTTGACCTTGACAGTGAAGACCAAGTTAAAACAAAAGTGCTCAGGAGTCAAATACAATGCAGCGATCCCAGATATTACTCATTATGAGCCTCAAATCTGGACACCTTGTTATGAATAGTGCACAGTTTTTTAAAATAATAAATACAGTTTTTGTATACAGCATATCAATATGTTGAACTGAAGGAATTGCCGGTGCGTTGCTGTGGTTTAAACCTCGGAGGCCCAAGCAGTTTCTGGGCATTTTTCTCACTGTGGGCTCTTTTTCCACTGCAACATGAAGTCCTGCACCTCTTTTAGAAACAGCACAACCATGACTTTTTTTTTTTTTGCAGCATAAAATGGTGATAATGCCAGAAATCATAAAAAGAGAAAGAGAAAAAAACAAAAGTTGAATTTCTTTGATTATTTATTTTACAAACATTGAAAACCCTGGAATTAACATTTGGTCCACATTTGTGTACCAAGACTGGAAAAAATAGTGACTCTACATATCACAGATGTTTTATTATTTTCATTTTGGATTTGATTCTGTGTATGTGTCTCTTGTCTGCTCCGTCTAAACACAGCCTGTAGGTCAGTTAAATAGTCCCTGAATTTTTTTTGTCACGTGACTGTTGGCTGCAGCTGAGTCATTAATGGTTTCACACTTTTGCAGAATCTGGTCAGAACAAAAAGATCATCATTTTTGTCAATTTTTATAGTGAGCTACAAAGAACAAAGTGATTTTGATGATAGACTTGATTTATTTTTCCAATGGAACAACACATCACATGATTTCTTCAAGGACTGTCAGAAAGTTGAAATTTCAGTGATTCTCTCTGTTTTTACAGCTTGTAGCGCTGATGAATAGTTTCATTTTGGTAATTCTTTAAAGATAATATGTCTTTCAAGCTTGCCTTTGAGATTCAGAGCATTAATGTCTGTGTCTTAGTCACTTATTTTATTGTTCAATGTGACCAACAGGATTGACTGCAGATAAGATCTTATCAGCTTCACTGCACACGGAGTCATTAAATAAAAAAGTCACTATATAAACTGCACATTATTTGGTGTAGACGGATGTAAGATGGGTCTTGTTGTCTGTTGCAACACTGATTTTTAAGATCTAACCTGAATATGCCAAACATTTTTAATGACACCTAATAAGTCATGCTTGTGAACCTCATCAGCGCTCATATCGACCTCATCCTTTATCGTGCCCTCTGGGTCGAACTGAGTTTGGGAGCGCTGCTTTGAGTTTGTCTCTTCTTTTCTCTGTCTCTTTCTGAGAAGGAATGTTAAAATACCCTTATCCCCTATCTGTCTGAATAAACCAACTGCCCAAAGCTGAAGCAGTGTTTACATTGCATAACAAAGAGCTGTAAGATGTGAAAAGGCTGAAGCCATTTGCCGTTATGATTAATATGCTGAAAAGCAAACAGTGAAGCTAACTGAAAAAGATTTTCTCAAATAAAAAGTCATTCATTCTGTTTGCTGTACTTGTTGGTCATATAGACTTACTTTCACTGTTTGCTTTTTATCAGCCCACACCCTCACTCTCATGTATACATTGATCAGGAAATTCATATTTGATTCATTGGCCTTAGTAGGAAATGCCACTTAATTTAAGAACTCTGGCTACTGTTTTTGTTTGTTTGTTTGTTTTTTACCAGCTTCTTCTTAAAGCTGCAAACTGATGTTGTCATGTGTTCCATGAAGCTCACAAGCTGATGTAACACTTTCAATAACTCACAAATAACCTAGAATGTCGGAAAAAGTCACAGTGTCTAGTAATATCTGCCAAGAATCATTATTGTGCTGTTGGAGAGGCTGCTGCTTTAGGATTTTTATAGCAGATTTGTCCATGTACATCCTGTCAGTCTACATGTTTTGTTAATGTCATGGGTCCAGCTTAACCTGCAGTCAGGGCGGGAAAAAAGTTGCTGATCCCTATGATCCTAAACCTTAGACCAGAGACTTTTAATTTGAAATTAAATGACTACCACAGACAGTGATTTTTCTCTAATACTGATTATAACCTGGATTATTGAGATTTCCTTACAAATGTATTAGAGACCAGATACTTAGACTATATAAATAGGAACTAAATGTAAATACACAACAGAAGAGTTTGTATTATTGAAAATTATTTGTCATTTGAACAGACCTTTTGAAAATGGTCTTTTGTTGCCATATGTTCAACCTTTTGAACACAGCATTAAGTTTTATTTATTGTTTTTTATGAATAAAGTGATCATGTGCAGTATGAAAGGAGCTGTGCATAATGAACAAATTATTGAAAACTGTTTGTCAATACTGCAAAACACTGCTCTACTGTGTTTTTACTTATTTTATTTTTTGGGTTGACCCACACTGCTCTCACTGATTACAGCTTACTGCAGTAAGTCGCTGTTTTTGGCAAAATACTCTAAAAACAAACTTAATGCTACTTTTGTGTGTCACCTTAATCACTTTTTCATAGTCAGACACAGAAACAAGAGATACAAAGTTTATAAAGCACTGGATGTAGCTTTTATTTATTATGAATATTCCTATTATTAAGAATATATGATAAGAATAAGAAAACAGATGACAAGTAGCCGGTGCTGCCTGCTTTTAGCAGCGCTAGAGGGTTGGGTTTGTTCTTTTGTTTTATGTCAGTTAGCATTAACAATGTTTTGTTTTGTTTTGTTTTCTCATCTTTACATTAAAGCAAGTGAAGATTATTCTCTTGCGTTACCGCAATGGCAGCAATCCTGCTGGTACCTTTGTTAAAGTAATCAGTAAAAACCTAATTCTACACATGATCCATGATGGTGAAGATACAGAAAACTAGAAATGCACAACAGAAACACTATACTGTCAATATTATGGGATCTCCAGAAATTACACAAATCCCATTTTCAGGGAAGCTCATGTCTTTTTAAGAAGAACCAACCCCACCCCTGCCTCCTCTGTAGTTTAGACTCTGCCTCCTAAGAACCAAATGTCAGAAAGACAAAGCTGGCAACCAGTTAGTGCACATAGTGGAGCATTTAGCAGTTTAGGAGCCAGAGATTTTGCTTGGCAGACATTAAAAACAAAGCCTAGAAGAGGGTGAATATTGAAACATGACTCCAAATGAATTCTTCTGACATTGCTCCATGTCTGTGAGATGTTTAAATGGGCAGCTGTTTGCACAAATTGTCCCAAAAAAACATGTAATGGAACTTTGAACAGCATTAGAAACAGTAATAATTAGTTGTTTTCCATCGATCTCTGTGCTCAGTGTGCTGTTCAGTCTGATAATGATGGAAGTTTTTAATTTTGCTGCTCTTAGCTTATACATGGATTACATTTGTGCCTTCAGTGGAGTGTTTGAAAGTATAATTATATGTAGCAGAAGCCAATTTCTTTCAAACAACGTTGCCAGTTCATCTGTCTTTGATACTTAGCGATAAGCCACATTAAACTCTGACGTTCTGTATTTGTGGGAACTTGTAAAATGAGCTGCATTCTTGAGGCCAAAAATCTTAATATGAGTGTGTGTTGAAGGTCCTGAAGGGTTGGGGCGAGCGCTGACTTCACGTTTCCCTGTCAGGCTGGATGGGAACGGTAACGGCAGCTCAATCATGATGCGCACTGACACAGAGAGGTGTAAAAACACACTCGGCGTCAGTGCAGCGTGTTTTCTCTACTCACTCGTATCTGACTTGTTTTTAAAAGCCTGACCAGCGTGTCTTGATTCCAGTGCTGTGCGAGTAGCATGTGAGGTAGCCCGGGGGGGCGGTGGGAGGAGGGGGGGGAAACGTCTGTAAATCATCTTCTGCACAGAACGAGACAGAAGCAGATAAAGAGAGAATCCACCACAGGCGTTTTCTCTTTGAACTCGTCTGCTTTATTTCATTAGACTGCAGCAAAAAGATGACTGACTTGAGACGAAAAGGAATAATTTGTCTCATGTTACCAGATTGGCTGAGAAGCGTTAAATAATATGCTAAGTCAAATGCATTACCCTCTGTTCTTTGTTTTTGCATTGTTTTCGACATTTGTTGCGTTTTAAACTCTCAAATTAAGTTGCTCTGGTCTAATATTAACTCCAGTCATCGCCTTGAAATAAGCTGTCATCTGTTGATATTTCAGGCCGTGCGCTTCACACTTCATCTCCTTTCTCCTTTCCAGGCAGTGGGCGTGTGAACCTGGTGCCGCTGCCCTCCGTAGTGACCAGTCCGCGGGACATGGCCCTGGCGGCTGTCATCTGCAGCGCTCTCGCCACAGTCCTGCTGGCCCTGCTCGTCCTGTGTGTCATCTACTGCAAGAGACAGCTGCTGGAGAAGAAGCCCAGTGGTCAGTCGTGAAAGCTCTTCACATTTTCTGGCATCCAAAAAAGTTGAATTTCAATGAAAGAGCATCACACCAAGAACTGCATTAAGTTAGGCTGTGGCAGTACAAAAACTTTCCAGTGCATCAGTGTGACTGGTTCCTGTGCAGGCATGTTTCTATGCAGCGTTCACTGAACTTTGAACCCCCACATCATGTGCCGGCATTTCAATGCACAGAATTTCCAGCACATTATGTACTTTAGTCAAGATTTCCAAAATAAAGGAAAGCTCATATGTGTTCCAAAACTTACTTCAAACAATGGAGATAAGACGGAGATAAGTTATCTCGAATGTGTGCTTTGAGAAGTGCTGAGCAGGCAGTTCTGTCGAAGTCATAGATTGAAGCGCTTTTTTTCTTTTTCTTTTTTTTTTCTTGGTCACATTTTTTTTTTATTCCTTTGAAGAGGTTTCAATGCCTTCAAATGTATTTTTTTTTAATGCAGCAAGTTCACTGCAAGATGTGAATTTGCGAAGGGATTATATATGTCTTTATACTGCAGCTGAAGAAGAGCATGTGTTGCTGCTTGGTTAACTGCACAAACAGGGTGAAGTATTAAGCTTTATTAAACCCTGATGTTGCATATTTGCGGCAGGCTGTATAATGAGCAGCGTTCTTGAGGCCAAAAGCGTCTGAGTATGTGAAACGTCCCGGGGCAAAGAACTAATGACATCATGCTTCTCTGGTAAACTGAAACAAAGCGTGTGGTGCAAGTTGCCAAGGCGTTACCGGTTACATGTTGTTTTTCATACTGGAGTGGTGTAAAGTGAACAATTGTGTTATATATTCTGTAAGTAGTTTCACTCAGTGGGAACACTCACCCCACCCTTCACCAAAGCTGCCGCGAAACGCTAACAGTTGTTTTTTAAAATTATACAAAGGAATTTTAATCGGCCTCACGGACTCGAGGGTTGTAAGTCATTTGCAGAGAATAAGAGAGCGTCTAAGTTCAGTCAGATAAACACCGGAGTTGGAAGGATTTTAACCTTAATAAACGGTTTGACTAACAATGGATTAGTTAATGGATTTATAAATGGTTGATGGACTGGTTTATTTTTATAAGAAATTAATAAAAACACATTTTTGGTTGCCAGGTAGTTATCCCTTATTAGGTAGTAATGCAAGTATAATGATTCCAAAGTTGCTGATGACTGCATTTTGTTCCAGGAGATAAGTGCTTGTAAATTTGCTCTTTTTAATGGCTTCGATCTATAAAACTTTACTTTTGTTAACCACTAATTAAGACCTTTTTAAAGGTGCCTTTGTTAAAATATGATGCATGGATCCTTTAATGTCTTGTTGGTTGACAGTCTCCATCATGTCTCCTCAGCAGCCTCTCTGAGGTCTCAGGACTGCCCCTACAGCGGGGCCGAGCTCTCCTGCCTGGACGCCCGCTGGCTCCACGACTTCCCCCAGAGACCCTGCTGCCAGTGTCACCTGGGCCCCGGACACACCTGTGGTAAGTTGTGGATCACAATAAATAGATTTTTATACTATGATAGGTATAAGGAAAATATTGCATTAATAACATACTCCAGCCACAGACGCTTTTTGACGAAAAGGCGATGGCACTTTAGTGACTTTCCATTTGTATTAAGTTGTAAATGCATGTGTGTGTGTGATGTTTAGGTCCAGTCCACCTGATCCCATCTCTGTGCTGTGATGAGAGCTGCAGTCTGGGCCGCAGCCAGGACATCAGCCCCTTCCAGTCCCAGATGAGTCTCAGTGAAGGGTGAGGAAATTGCACGCTCACAAGGACGAACAGGCGCAAAATGTGTCAGAAATTTTAAACCAAACACCAACAACATAACCAGTGGCAGCGGCTGAAAAGCTGCTGCCGACACATGCCGTATTACATGTACTACATGGATGCTGAGCATATCACGCTGTTTGGCGAACACCTTTATCCAAACTGCCTGGCACCATGACTGCAAACATTTTTCAGCCCAGAGGGAAATGACTATAAAACTCTGTAATGTTTGCTCTGCTGACTGAGCTGAAGCTTTCCAGCTGGCTAATGGCTAAACTCAACATTAAGCGTCCAACAAACAAAATAAAACTACAGTTACACAGTTACATCCTTCTGCGATGTAAATACGTTTGTATATGACTCAGAATATATAGATATAGATATATATATAGATGCTGACTCCTGCAACTCACACTGCATATGACATTATACTGTATACAATAAAAAAAAGAAAAACTAAAGCAAGGAACACACTTGTGCTCATACATGTAGGAAATGTATAAAGATGAAAGAACCTGACAGAGTCATTCCCCATCAGCTTGTGTTTGGTAAGCCAACAGTCAGAGGAGGAACAGCTGCCACGTAAACACTAAACTGCTGCTCCACCGCCTCGGGGCAGCGCTCTAATTTCTGTTGTTTCTTCAGGGTGCTGTAGACATAATTTAATGTGGTTAATTCACTGCTTTGAAGTGCTGACAACAGACAGAGGCCACAGGGTGTGGCCACGAACAGAGATTGGTGGTGATCATAACCACAGATTTCTTTGCTCTGTTCCCCCAGAAACGCAAACCTGAAAGAGGAGGGAACACCAATGCAGCTGGAGGGACATCCAGAGTCCGTCTACGAGGGGGCTGGTGGGATGAGAGGAAGCTCAGAGGCTGCAGAGTATTTTAGGCGCTCTCAGTGCAATGCTGAACCTGCGGAACGACTGGAAGTGGAGGGAGAAGAGGAGGTTGAGGAGGATGAAGGGTGCAGGTCAAAAGAGAACTCACCTGAGAAGAGCCAGCAGAACTGCAGTGAAACTGTGACAGATGCACTTCTTCCCAAACAGCACGCACTGACTCAGGAAGGTGAGGTGACATGTTACCACTATACTTCTCTCAGACAAAAAGAGCAGAAATGAAAGAAACCAAAGATTTTGGATGTTATTTTTGAAATAATTCTTACTGTCATGCTACTTTTTTACTTCTCCCATGTCTGGATATAAATTATTTTCCTCATGAAGGTTTTATTGGTGCATTAAAGCACACAAGCTGCATTTTAAATTAGTTGCCTCAAAGCAAACTACTTAATGACTCTTAATACCTCAACTGTTTATTTGAAGCGCAAAGCAGAAAACACATCCCTCCAGAAAACACAGAGAGTGTGTGAAATAAATAATCTAATTCCTTTTTGAGAGCTAAAGTTGTGCATTAACTGCTCAGTAACTCCTGAGTAGCCTTTTTATAGACTGGGACACTCCTCTGTGTGTGTCCGTGAGGAGCAGCTGGTAAAAGAAACAAGAGACACCACAAGTTATTTGATGTAGACAAGACTATCCTGCTTTAAGTCGGCCCTGGCCGGCTCTGGATAGATACGTTACTAATCACTGCATGTCTGCGTTCCTCTTCCTGCTCTCTTTCCAGGATGACATGGATTTCTTTGGCTTGTGTTCCACCCTTGAACCACCCTGGACTCAACAACAGATCCCGTTTCAGATTACTCACTAGTTCCCCCACACACACACACACACACACACACAAACCAACAGCAGCCACTCACAAGTGTGGTCGGCTGCCTCTTTGAAATGCCTGCCGCTGACCTCAGAGCCCTTCGTCAGATGGTCCAAACAGAATATGTACATACATGCAAACAGAAGCACTACTGAGGCAAAGGAACACACACACACACACACACACACACAGAATGTGAACTCGTTGGCCCAGAAGGTAAAAATCATATGAAGTTCAAATGTCGAGGAGTACTGACTTATTACTGTGGAGCAAAGTGAATCAAAGTGAGCCTCTGCTCTTCCTCGAGAATGTCTCGCATCTTCACATGTAGGAGAACATAAACTGTACCACTCATCTAGCAGCTGGTGTTATGAAGCTTTTGTGTGTAAAGGTGACAGTTGTAAAGTTTGAAGTGTGAAGAAAAGTGTCAAAAGTGTTACGTTGCACATTGAAGACAATCTTGATAATATGGAACAAGTTAAGACGAAGAATGTCAAAGTGATAAATGTGTTGTAGATACTGTAAAATAGTAAATAGGTCAATATTTTTGTAACATAGACATGAGTGACGTCATGTCTGCTTTTCTCCCCCAGTTATAGTGTTGACGGTTGTGAATGGTCACTTCCATGTATCATTGTTGTAAATAAACCACTTGAACAAGTTTACACACTCAATTCTTTTTTTAATTAACAAATTCATCAAGAGAAGCGATTTAGTGATGCACTTTCACCAAATTGGAGGAATCTAAAGGCAGATTCAGGCAGGTTCAGAGAGAAGTTCAGATGATATTTGTCCCTTCCTCAGTTTTGCCTTCACACTTTCTGCAATTCAGCTCCGGAGTTAAAGCAATAGTGCTCGCATTTCACAGAGCAAACTCTTTAAATAGGAAATACGCCATGTCGAAACAAGTTGAAATTCTTCTTTAATGACCCAGTTACAGACTAAAAAAACTTGATAGAAATTTGGTGAAGTGCAATAATACTGTAACTACAACAAGAAACAGCACAGGAGTTCTTCAGCTGCTTAGGCAGTGACTTTGGCTTAGTTTCTAGGCTGTTAAACACTGGACTGTGCACTGTAAGGTAAGTGTACAGCTCTTTTGGGGAAAGGGATTTCAATTTGGACCACTTTTAAAAGTAACTTTTAAAACTTATGTGGTAATTGTTTACATTTCATCGACATAACAATTGATCCTTCTAAAAAAAAGATTCAAACAATCATGAAAATAATCATTAGTTGCAGCTACAGCTCAATTTTGACCTTTTTGAAGCTAAGGCCATAAGTTTGTAATGTGGTCTTGCCATTAAAATTCAAGCTTGATATCTCTCATGACATCCTGTTTTTCCTTTATTTGCAATTTCACCCTCATTAGATAGCGACAAAGACAGTGGAGAGAGACAGGACGTTTGGAGATAAAAGCAGGGGAATGACATGCAGCACAGGTCCAGGCCAGCCAGCGGAAACAGACCAGGGACTTACTGCTTTAAGGCATTTGCACCCATGTGGTATGCACCCTGACCACTTGGCTATCGTGTCGTCTGTGACATTCTTTTTTTATGTTCACAAGTTCCCATTGAAGCCATTTTTACTGCTGTTTTCACACAATGTGTAGAACTCCTCGTGACAAGCAAAATGGTTTTGATGTGCTAAATTACACCAACAATTACTAACATTTAGATTGTGGCTGCACTTCAGTTGAATTTAGAAACAGAATCTCTTCTGATATAATTTGCCTCAGGTTTAACTGGAAATAGATCAGAGGGCTGGAAAAAGCATTTGAAAGCAAAGTCATGTTGGAGAGACATCATATCCACACAATCAGTCAAACTGAGGTGTTACAGCCTCGGTGTGGTTGGAGCCACCCAGCTCGCTCAGGCTCAATCTTGATGGCGTGTTCACACCTTCGATGGCCATGCGACGCCGCTCCTCAACGGTAGCCTCGACTCTCTAGGACATTGTTACTGGGAGCAGCTGCAGACTCGCTCAGCTGACGATTATCGTTTGAAACAGTTTGAAACAGTCACTTTGTTGAGCATCTGTGTTAACGTGAAGTATTCCTGCTTTACAGTGATGTCTGAACAGGTTTAGCACAATGTGCAGTAAAAAGTACTTAAAACTTACCACAATAATACAACTGACTTTCTACACTATGCAACAACTGCTTTTAAAACTATCGGGAACTGACGAGAACTCTCCTATTGTCTAGTGAATATGGAGTGAAAATTCACAACCCTGAGTTTTGGATTTCTCTCTCAGACCTCCCTCTGAAACTCCTGACAGACAAAACAGATGGAGCGGCATTAATTTAAAGCCTAAACAATGAGGCACATGACAGGAAGAGCAGATTAAGTATTCTTCCTCATGCTGATTTAATCAGGAAAAAACAATGTGCTGCTCTTATGCAAGCAGAAAATGGATATTTAGGGAGGGGATGTCAGCTGTGTAAAGATAAATTAATGAACTGTTTGAAATCTGTGGGAATATGCTATTTTGTTATTATATTTTTATAATGTTTATTGCCGAAAAATATTTGCTGGGGGTAAATCTGTTGAAACATAATATGAAACAAGGGAATCAAGAGCTTTGGAAAAGTGTCTGTGAATGGGACAAAATAAACAACAGTTTGTAACAACCAATACGTAGAGATCAACAGGGTCCATAGCAACTCTTTAATTTTGTTTGTATTAACTTATGCTGACAGAGGAATTTACAGAATATTAAATAAGTCAATGTGACTTTAAAGGAGACCAGTTATATAAAAATGTTGACAATTCACCCACAAACAAAGCGAAGATGCTGAGAATGTGATGTATTTCACTTCACCTCTCAGCCCTGCATCTTTGTGTGTGTCCTCATTCTTTGCCTTGTAAAGTCCATTTCAATGCAGCCGAAATCAGCTTTCAACTTTCAGAGTCCATGATGAAGGTCTCGAAGTTTGGATTGAGCTCAGACACCAGCGCGTCCACAAAGTCCTCAATGGTGGGCCGTTTCTGCAGCATGCCTGCCACGTAAAAACACAGAGCAGTCGGTATTAGAGCGTTAGTCGGCTGCAAGGAAAAACCTCTGGCGAGGCAGTGGGATGAAATGATTTCCAGTTTTCCATCACTCAATCCCACCTCGTTCTAATAGGAAAAGTACAGCTTTTCTGAACATTTACATATTTTTAACCTGAAGTCACTGTACTGGTTGTAAAAAAAAATAAAAAAGACACAAGAGCGCTTTAGGGTAAAAAAAAAAGTTATTTTCTGGAGAAATCCTTCAAAGCAAGAGCTATTTCTATTCCAAATTAAGTTAAAATGCCATTAAGCTGATGGACACAGGCTGCTGCTCTTGAAACTTTTGATGTAACCCCACGTTCCACAATCCCATAAAGAATTTTTGTGTTACATTACTTGTGTATAGCGAATGCAATGTTGCACTCTAATTTGTGTGTTTAAAAGTGAAAAGATGATTAAAAAAAATGCTACATTTTGAATTGATTTGTTTATTACACCCTGTTGTTAAAGACTAGCACTTTTTGTTTCCTAAACCGCACCCTCACACATTCCCTTCGACTAAAAACAAGTGACTGGAAAGAAAGCAGGCACAGAAACTCTGAGAAATAAACTTTATGGACACCTTTAACAGACCCACAGACTGTATGCAGTAAAACAAAGCTATAAAGTTCTCAAAATCTTCTGTTTCTGCCTCCAGCAAAACTAAAATGTGCATTGTACATTTCACAGGTCTCCATAGGGCTGATACTGAACCCACACACATATTTTTCACTATATGTGACTAGTGTCGTGGAGCAAATATGACTGTGCAGCCGAGAGCCGACCCTGGGAATGTCTATGTGTTTTGAGAGCCTGTCTGCCAGCTCATGCGTAGAGGACTCCCTTGCTCGCTTTACAATTCAGCTGCACGCCCGCTTTGAAGTCAGTTCATTTCCCCTTGTGTAGCTGCCAATGTAAATAGGCAGCCTCCCCCTCCCCACCTTTCCTGCATGGGTCACCTCCACTGAGCACACACACACACTTGCACACCAGCATGTCTGCACAGGCACGCATGAATGGAGACGCAAAGAGTTTCACACAGCGATCCTGAATGTACAGACACACATCAAGATATAGACAGCAGGGAGCGGGGGAGTCCAGCTGCTGCTGCTGCTGCTGCTGCTGCCACCCTGAAACTGACTCAGCAGGTAGAAACTGAGTGCAGGTTCGACCCCGGCCTTCAGTGAATCGCCTTGCATGGGAGCGCCGGAGAAGGGATTATCATCTCCTCTTACCCACCAGTCGCACCCTGCCCCTTGGCTACAAGATGATACCAAAACATGGGGTCCCTAACACACTGCAAACCGCAAGGCCCCTGGATCCATGGGAACTCGGCAGCAACATGAAAGCGATGATTCCGAAACCATAAATGATAGCCCCTAATTGACGTCTATGGCATTTGATGACCGCTTTAAAGTGGAGCCCCAAATGCTATGAACAGCTCAAGCTGCATTGATAGATGTTCATACAGAGGATCTTAGGGCACACTTACAAAATTACACCTCAAATCGGATTAGTGTTAGAAAAGTGCTTGAGTATTGTAATTTAAATCCTGAATTTCATTCCAATAAACATCACGGTAACTGAGGTGAGGGGCGCTGCATTCAGTCCCATATTCCAGCATGGGGCATCTCACTATGACCATGTAACCTCTGCCATCCTGTAGGACCCTGTACTTGCACCTGTTATAAACACAACCAACACCATTTAACAAAGGTTTCCAAGTCAGACACATTCAGTGAAGAGGCTGCATATGACTACAATGGAAGTAGCATTTATTGTACTTCATTTCTACTGCATCAAATTTGGTAGAGCTGCAACTTTTTTTTTTTTTTTTACAATAGGTTCAATAGCATCAGTCTCTACTGAGTCTTTGTAATAAGGTTTTTACTCTATGGTTTACTGCCTTGATTAGACAGAAGTAAAATTGCCCATTTTTGCCGGACTTTTGTGTAGTTTTAGAGGGAGCCTGGTGAAAAGGATCACAAGGCTTATTGTATTTCAGAATTCTCCAAAGTTGTCCATTTGGTCTGACACTGTTGCAGCTGTTACTGACTATGGGGATATTTTTCATGTGAAAGTCAGAAAAAATAGCCTCAGGCTTCAAGGTTTTATTTACTGACCAGGAGCCTCTAGCCATGCTTGTGGCTCTTTTAAATGCTTTCAGCCTCACATTGTTTTCTTTAATACTCAGCTTCAAGACATGAAAAAAAAGTATAAAACATATCAATTGAACTGCAAATGTTATTAAGTTTCAGTGACTAAAGGACAGTCATCTCCCCCTCACTGCTCAAATATGCAGCACAAGACAACAAAGAAACAGGCACACAGATACTCATGTCCTGACATGACACTTGTTTACTTGGTTGATTTTTACAGTATGTGCGCAGACAGAGCTGTGGGTTACTGATTTGAACTCTCTGTACACCATCTGCGGCATCACCACCACTTTCTCTAATAGATGTCATTTCCTGACTGTGGGTTCACAGTTGGACCTGATGTCTGGAGCCTCGTCTGCCACAGGTTAGTGTGTTAAACAGGCCAAGTTAACATGATGAGTGATGAGAGACGCAGAGAGGAGGAGGAGGAGGAGGAAGAACGGGGGAGAAAGAGTTAAAGGTGGAAAGGGAGGTGTGATCATAAAAGAGTTAAGTCAGGTAAACAACAGCTCCCTCGTTGGCTTCTCACCACCAGCAGCCGGTGGTATCAGCGCAGGGTTCTCACACGGCACTTACGGTATATGGCGAAAGGTACAACAATAAGCGGCGAGGAGTGAGTCTTTTCTCAGCCCTGATCCCTGGGAGAGTTTGAGAGGAATGCACAGATAACCTCAGAGTCATAACAACACTGTGGAGGAGTATCTGATCCCAGAAGCTGCTTTTATAGATACACACAAAGAGGAGGGGCTGCGTCAGACAAGACCAGCCGACAGGGTAAAATCAGCACACTGCAAAAAGACAAGCACTGAAGCTGAGAGGTTTGAAGAGAGCAGGTGATGGGAAAGTGTTTAGGTACAAGTGATACCATACACCATAAACAGGATTTTATTGTCATTAACACAATAAATAATAACTATGTTTGCTATGTACAGTATGAAAGACCTAATTACCAGAAATCAGGAAGGAATGACTTAGCTTGTTGTTACACGTGTCTTGAGGTTTTTAGATATCTGCCTTTGAAAGGCAAATACAATTAAATATGTGGTGCTGACAGCATGGACAAATAACGGAAAACTTCAATGGCAATGATTTAAAAAAAATAAAAATAAAAAATTAACAATGTCTGAATAATGCTGAATAATCTACAGGCGTAACGAGGAAGACGTTTAGTCAGACATTTTCAAACCCCCAAATCATTCCGGTGAGAAGTATTGGCAGTAGGGCTTCAAGTAATGATTATTTTTATTATTAGGTATTCTGCCAGTTATTTCCTCAATGAATCACTCGGTCTGTAAAACATAAAAGGACGTGGACACGTTGTTGTTTAGTGTGACCAGCAGTTCAAACCCCAATTATATTCAATTTATTGTGATATAAGACAAAGAAAAGCAGAAAGTCTTCATTCGGGAAGCTGAAACTAGAGAAACTTTTTAATTCTTGCTGAAGAAAAGACTGAAATGACTCACTGATAATCAAAATAATGTCAGATTTACCCATCAATCAAAAAAGTAATCCTTGCAGCTCTCACTGCTAGTTGGGAATGTTGTTGTATTTTGGGTAAACCATGTAAACTCAGCAAAACTCTACTCTAAAGACTCCCCATCCAACTACTGCCACAGTACAGATACTGTACGAGTGGCTCTACATGCTTGATAGCGTCACAGTGGGCAAAACTGTACACTCACTCTTGGCAAAGCACAGAGGAAAAACCAGAGCCAAACTAAACATAGGCTGTGCTTTGTGTCCATTGTTGGGAGAGCCTTAGGATAGAGGCTTTGCCGTGTGAGTCATCTCGTATTTAAGAGTTTCCATTTCCATTCATAATGGCTCCGACACAGCCATTGAGGAACAGGGCTTCTACTCGTTACAGTCATCTCAGGGCCTGCATTGGCGGCCAACTCGGCCAGCAGAGTTTGGGTAAAACAGGAGGTGTTAAAAGACAAATAATGGACTGGAGCCTTATTGGAGCAACTGGCAGTTGAGTGCGTTGCTCAAGGGTACTTCAGGAGCACTTGCTGTGTGAGGGAAGTGCACCACTCATTGTCTTTCCCTGCGCAGTTTGTCCAAGCTGGTGTGGGAACATTTAAATTATAGACGTTCTTCTTTAGATCACCATCACTGCCTCTTTTTGTCTGTAACACTTCCTTTCTCCAAACAGAACAGTGCTTAGACTAAGAAATGGAAACGCATTTTAATTTGAGTACCGTTTGTTTTTCCAATTGTGTCACCCAATCTAATCGCAAAATAATCAAACATTTAAATTCAAGTGAAGAGCAAAATCCTTTACAGTTTTCATCCACATGAAAGGAGTTTTAACTTTACATTTAAAACCTGTCCTAGTGTTCTTCTACAATTGCTCTTGTGTTCAATCCTATAAAAAGGTCTTTACGATGAGAGAGCTTTGCCTCTCACATAAGTATATACACAGCATGCAAAGAAAACTTGTTTATTTATTCAAAGGGTGGTGGACGATGGGTATCAGTCAAATGAAGACCTTTGCGGCTGACTAGCAGCTCTGAGTCTTGGTAATAATGACAACTCTGGGGACAAGAATTCAGCAGAACTGCTTTAAAATTGCAGTCAAGCCTGCAGCAACATCTGAGTTACCGCCTAGAAGGAGTTTTGCATGCTACGGACAAAGAAATTACCAGTAAACTGTCCAGTGACCTACATTTTTCTACGAACTGATAAATAAAACAGTGCTCCCATTTTTCTTTAACAAAATAACATGTGTACCTAGTTCTATTTTGAACATGGGCACAATTTAAAGACTCTTAAAGCATCACAATTTCACAAATGTTTACTCT